GACCGAAGGCAGCTCTGTAGCCGCCACAGCGGCAGACCAGCAACGCATGGCGGCCCTGGAAGGCCAGGTCGCTACCGCGGCCGCCAGCATGGCCGAGCTCGTCGAAGGCCTGTCGCAGAATGGCGGCCCGGGAGCAGTCACAGCCCCGGTCAGCAGCAGCAGCAGCAGCCAGCGCAGCACAAGGTGCGGGCAAGGCAGCACCGCTAACGCCCAGGTCAGTGCGGGAGATGGCGAGACTAACAGGTACCGATACCGCCACTCCCCGGACCTCTCCCGGGATGCGTTCTGCCCAGGGTTCCGAGGAGAATCCAGCGGTGGCGACGAGGGCCCCGCAGGAAGCCGAAGAAGGGGGAAACGGGCGTGGGGTAGCGGTATGGGCACCTCTTCCGCCGCTCAGGAGAGGCAGCAGCGCAGCGCAAAGGCGGGCAAGCCACCACCAGGACAGCACCCACTGCCCTTCCGCGCGGCAGCCGACGACAACGGCGAGGGGCCGACGGAGATGCAGAAGGGACCCGGAGGGCCAGATCGTCGCGGAGCAGGCGCCTGCCCACCGGCCCCAGCAGGTACCTCAGGATGCCTGCAACATCGCCGTGGGCGCGTGCTTTCCGGGGTTCAAAACCAAGCTGCTAAAAGGTGCATTGTGCCCCCGGCAGGGGCGGCGGCCTCGCGCAAACCGCCGGCGGCGCTGGCGTGCCCAACGGGTGCGCTTCCGTGCCCGCTCGTGGCCACCCCCGCGGAATGCGGCGTCTGTCCTTGCCTCGGCTGGGGTTGGCGGTAGGGCCGCCCTGCATGCTCAAGTTTTTGCACACTCAATCTTTCCAAGGTCGCCGAGGCAGCCACGACAGCTACGGGGTGGCCGCTAAATCAGTGAAGCTGGGCTATCCCCGGCTGCTGCTAGCATCGGGACCACCAGCCTCGTCTGAGCCGATGCTCAGCATGCCAGGGCATCGCAGCGGAGCTCGTCATCTCATCCGTTTCACCTCTTCCTGAAACGCAAGCTGCACTGCGTGAACCCCAGGCCACCTGGCCCATCTTCCTGGACAGCGGCGGGGTGCTGCTGACATCCTCGGAGCAATGCATCACCAGCGCCACGAAGGCAGAGCTCGACAAGTGCGTGGTCGGGCACGCGAGCGAAGGCCTTTCGCAGTTTCAGGCGCTACACATCTACACAGACGGGCATCTCAAGGGGCCGTCAGCACGGGGCCTCGTGGTGTTGGGAATGCGCCACGATGGGACCACAGTTCTGCTGGGCACTATGGGCGATGCCATGCCCATCCTGTCGGACCAGTTCGCCCAGCCGTCGGGAGCTGCAGAGATCTGCGCGGCCATCGCGGCCGTCCTCTGGCTCCTGCAATTTGTAGCAGAGCAGGGGGATGAGGTTGCATCCTGCCCACTGCCGCCCGTCAAGCAGGGCTGGACCTGAAGGTTGTTGTTCGTGTTGTTTTCGTTTTGTGTTTCGTTTTGCCCTACCTGTTCTCCTGTACCTCCCTGTTTAAACTAAAAAACAAAACAGCCGAAGACCAGCAAAACAACATGTAGGTCCAGCCCTGCCGTCGAGGTCGTCACCGATGACCAGTACACTATCGACATCGGAGGGGGAGGAGCCTCGCTGGAGCACTGCGCGCCGTACGCGGGCTACGCACCTGGACGGGGCCCTGAAAGTGCTGACACACCTGACCTGGTGCACGTGCGTTCACGTCGCTGGGCACATGTCGGACCAGTGGAACGAGCTCGTCGACACCACTGCCACGTCGGCCAGTAGAGGGCTTGTCAGCTGGGCCGGCGAATTCGACCTGTGGGAGCTTGTAGACAACACAGCACCGCACACTGGCTGGACGTGGCTGCGCCTGGCGCCGCGGGGAATCCAACGTCACTGCCACAAGGCCCGGGGGCCTGGCCCGATCCTCAGGCTGGCTGCCACAGGGGGCTGCAGCAAGTCGCTCCAGGGCCGCTCCACCTCAAGCTGGCCACCGCCAACGTGCTCACGCTGGACCCCAGAAAGGCCAGGGGGGCCACCAGGGCCAACGCGTTCGTCGGGGTGCTGATCCCAGGCAGGCTGCAATGGCTGGCGCAGCAGTTCGGGGACGCTGGTTACCACGTGTGGGCACCATGGAGACAAAGGTCCCCACCACAGACTCGGTCGTGAAGGCGGGCACGTACTAGGTCTTCCACACTTCGGCGACGTTGGGATGCTTTTTGGTGTTTCGCTTTGAACCAAAGTCGAGGACGAGCTGGCCAGTGGACACCGTTTCCAAGAAACGCAGAAGGTTGGCCTACATACGGGCACTACAATCCCAACGTTAATGCTGGCCTACCTACGGGCACCGTGTTTCGAATGTGATATCCTGGTCGACCACGCGTCCCAAGGCCGCAAGCAGGCCAAGGACATCAGAGCGTGGTGGACCGAGACGGATAACATAATGGCCAACAGGAGGTGCACGTAGGTCTGGGTGTTTGGGCTGCTGGATGCTAACGCCCAAGTTGGCAATGTACCTGCTGACGGCATCGGCCCGTACGGAGCCCAGAAGGAAAACACCCAGGGGGCGTGCCTGCGCAGTCTTGTCAGGACCGCGGGAGCGCGCCTCCCATCCACCCGCATGGCCTCGAAGGGAGACGACTACGGCACCTGGAGCTCGGCCAAGGCAGGTGCAACAGCCAAGGGCAAGCGGATTGCCTACATCATGCAGCCCCTCGGACTTGTCAAATTGGTCGAACACCTAGGCATCAACAGAGACATCAGGCTCGCCGTGACCACCAAGCACCATGCTGTGGTGGACGCGGAGTACCTAGCTCGACAAAGCAAGGCTCACAGACAGAGAACGCAATGCCAAGAACGAAGACCTCCTGGCGCACACAGATGCACCCGAACGACCACGCCGATGGCCTGACTGCGGGAGGCAGCTGAAGCCGTCCGTGTCGAGCCAGTGGCGCCGAAGCCCACGTGGGAGCTCCCCATGACGCAAGGCCTATGCCAGGCCAGGGCTGGTGCCCTGGGGAGGTCGCGGACGGCAAGCCACGCCATGACGAGGCTCACGCTGCAACTGCTACTCGTCGCTTGGGGCAGTGCCAAAAGCCTGGAGCTCTGGCTGAACCGCAGGGCGGGCCAGTGGCAGCACGCATGGAGGACCGACAGGGAGTGCATCTCTGTCGCGAACTGCTCCAAACTCGCGCTGTAGGAATACCACCACCTGCTGGAGGACACGGCCATGGTGCTGGACCAGCAACACCCATGCAGATGAAAATTCAAAAACAAGAAGGCCACGAGGCCCAAGCCGGCCAGGGCAATTACCTTTGGCGCTGCAGCAGGGGATGGGATACCACAGGTCGACCGCCTGATGAAAGGGGCACCGCGGCAGCGAGTGAAGAGCGGCGCGCTGCCGACCACGAAGCACACGAGAACAACCTGCGGCAGCTGCGAACCGCAGGGGTGAGGACGTCAGATATTGCACGAGCGCACCTAGCTTGTCCCCCTCCCCCTCCCCCTCCTCCTCCTCCTCCTCCTCCTCCTCCTCCTCCCTGGAAAATCGACCGCCGAACCGAACCTTCCCAAGAGCGCGCTCCGGCCAAGACCTCGAGGCGGGTCCTGCCGCGACGACGAGGGCACTCTCGGGAGACGGAGAGAAAGACCAACACGGAAACATCAATAATCCACATGCCCTCACCTCCATCCCTTGAGCAGGGACCGACCGTCCCGGCATTCCTATAGTCCTACCACGAACTGTTCTTAGAACCGAGAGATGTTCGAATACCAAAAACACTGTTCTTAGAACAAAAACCCGAAGTGTTAGAACAGGACAGACTCCGCCAGAAATGTTCTAAGAACATTTCGTGGAAACCACAAAAGGCTCTTAGAACATTCTTTGGTGGGGCTATAGGCGAGCCAAGACGCTTCGCCACTGCTTGAATCCCCCGCGCCCCTCACATCTCTTGTAGCACGTGCTGGTCAGCATCTCGCGGCAAATCCAACTATGGCGAGGGAGGCCCCCCCCCAGGAGGCCCAACAATATGGCAAAACCTTCGGACTGCCTCCTCCGCCTCCTACACGCGGATGGTTTCGGGCACATCGCTCGGGCCTCAAACGGCCACACGTGACGACTCTGGCTTCCTCGGAGGGCTCTCGAAGAGGCGCAGGTGGGCCTGGGCCCCGGGCCGACAGCCGCCATGGGCCCCTGAAGCAACACACACACACATACACACACACACACACACACACACGCACACGAACACGCACGCGCACACGAACACGCACACGCACACGCATACGCACACGCACGCGCACACGCACACGTACACACACGCGCGCACGCACACCACACGCGCGCACACGCACACGCACACGCACGCACACGCGCACACGCGCACACGCGCACACGCGCACACGCGCACAGGCGCACAGATTCACAGATTCACGGATTCACAGACACACAGACACACAGACACACACGCACACACGCACACACGCACACACGCACACACGCGCACACGCACACACACACACACAGACACACACGCACACACGCACACACGCACACACGCACACAGACACACACAGAGGTCGTCTTCTTAAAATGCGCTCTGAATGGACTTTCACAACGAACATCCTGCCGTCGCGGCCAGGGCCCGCTAGGATGCTGCATCCTCGAACTGTGTTTGTAACTTCGGCTGGCACCAAAGCCACACGTGCCAACCCCGACGCGGTGGAAGTAGAGTTTGTGGTTGGGGGGGGCGCACCCGAATCCTGGTCGAAATGCGCTCCAGGAGAGGTCCGGGGGGCGAATTTGGAGGGGGAAATCAAACAAGTCCGGGTTGCCCCTGGGGCGGTCTTGAGGACTCTAGTGGAGGTCCTATCATGATGAAGCCAGGCGAACGCGGATTGGGCAGAAGGACGAAACATCATAAAACGACCGACCCATCAAATCCGCGCGGATCTCCGAACTTTTTCCTTTCGGGACGCTGATCAAAATCTGAACTGTCAGCCGGCCCCGTCCAAGGCGCTCAATCTACATGCCACCCTCGGCCGCGTCCGCTGGCCCCGGCGTGCGGATGCCCACCACGTACACTTGGCAGATCTTGCAGACAAACTCCTGCAGTGCGGGGTGGGGGCGGAAAGGGAGGGGGGCGGCGACCGGTTGAAAAGTATCGACTGAAGCTGCGGTGCCATGAGTGGCCAGCTGCAAGCGGCGGCACCAGGGCACGGCGCAACCCTGCTGAGAATCCGACGTCACCTTTCTTCCGACGGCGGTGGAAGCGCACGGCGGCGGTTGGGGCGGCGAGGCACGACGAGCCTTCGCCGTGCTGGTCAAACGCGTGGCTGACGCACGCGGATCGACGGGCGACCGGGCGGACAGGATGGCCCAGCGACGCTGCGTTCCCCCCCGCAGGGAGCACACGCGGGCCACCCTGCAACGGCTGCAGCAACAACAATGGTTAGGGGCGATCGTAACTGCGGAGGCATTGCAGGCGGCGGCGGCGGACGTCACGTGAGGGGTGGGAGCAGCAAGAGGAGGAGAAGGAGGACAAGGAGAAAGAGGATGAGGAAGAGGCGCCCAAGATGAGGAGGACAAAAAAAGGAGGAAGCGGAAGCGGCACGGGCACAGGACGAGGAAGAGGAGGAGAAGGATGGCGAGGCGGCGCGGGCGAACGCTCTTGCAGCACGCCGCGGCTCTGCGAAAGGAGCAGCGTGGCGGCGAAGCTGGAGGCGGCCGAAGATGGCGGCCCGCAGGCCAGCATTCTGTTGCCCCCATCGTACTTAACGACCACATCCCGGAAATAAGTTCGAGCACCCAGAAGAGTGTCGACAGAGTGTCGAAACAATGTCGGACAAGTGTCTCCCAGGGCCCGACACGTGAAAACCCTGGGGTTTCGGTACTTTTTTGGCGCTTGAAATTCTTTCTGGTGAGCAAGGCGAAGGTAGGTTGGAACATCATAAGGCCAGCAGGAGGAAGAGGCGGCCGAGAGGAGACAGAGGACCAATACAAACACAATATTGTTCAACGACGGTGGGATAAATCCTCCCTCCGAATTCCCTTTCCGCAAGCCCCTACAAGGATTCACTTCCACAGATGGAAATTCACCGCTGAAAAAAACAACAACAACCGTTTGAAGATCCTGAACCGTGCCAAAACACTCTCGGGACTTCAGCGCCACGAGCCAACATGAATGTTACGTATTGCTGATCTTTAATTGCGGCAGAGCGCCACCCCTGGGACTTCAGCATCGCTACTGGTATCGATGTCGTGATTTCTATCGAAATACAATGGTTCGAACCACGTTTAACACTTTCAATGAAAAGTAGCTAATCGGTTGCGACAGAACTGCTATGCTGGTTGCGCGCCGACTTAGAACATACTTCTCGGCGTACTTCTACCATGGCTGTAGAGCGCTCAGATCGCCAATGAAACGGCTGTTGAAAGACGCGGTCCCTGGCATGAGGGGGGCGGCCTTCGGGACATCACGGTTGAACTGATGCAAGCGCACCGGGATTTTATTTCAGCGGCCTTGGACCGCGCTGGGTGACATGCAGTCAAGCAACATCTAGAGGAAGAAATGATGTAGGGGGCAGAGGAGGAAACAGCGAAGGAAGAGGAGGAGAGAAGGCTACGGAAACTACGGCTGAGAAGCATCGCCTGCTCACAAACAAAACTCTCATATAACATTATACCCTACCTATACGACCACCCTTCGGGTGATAAGGAGGTTCGGGGGGGGGAGGAACCAACGTCTCACTCGATCGGTCTCACTATCGATCTCACTATCGATCTCAGTATCAATCTCGCTCGTTCGATCTCCCTCGATCGATCTCACAGTCGATCTATCTCACAATTGATCTGACTATCGAGCTCACAATCGATTTCACAATCGATCTCACAATCAATATCACATTTGGTCTCACTATCGATCTCAATATCGATATCACAACCGCTATCACAATCAACGTCATCATCATCATCATCAACAGCAACATCAACATCAACATCATCATCACCAGCATCATCATAATCGGGACACCGTCCTCATCATCAACACCAACATCATCATCACGGTCATCAACATCATCGGGACACCACCATCATCATCATCATCATCATCATCATCATCACCATCATCACAATCATCAATAGCATCAACATCATCATCATCATCAGCAGCATCGGGACACAGTCATCGTCATCATCATCATCATCAGCAGCATCATCATCGGGACACCATCATGATCACCATCGTTATCATCATCATCATCATCATCATCATCATCATCATCATCATCATCATCATCGGGACACCATCATCATCATCTCATCCTCATCATCGACGTCATCATCATCAGCATCATCAACATCATCATCAGCATCATCATCATCGTCATCATCGGGGCACCATCATCATCATTACCAACATCAGCATCAACATCATCATCATCATCACCATCGGGACGCCATCATCATCAACATCATCATCATCACCATCCGAATAATCATCATCATCATCGGGACGCCATAA